TGAGCCTATTGCCATATACCGGGCACGTTTCCAGACTCCGTGCTAATACTGAGATTTTTTTTAAAACACTTTGTCCTACCCGGGAATCGAACCCAAGACCTCTTGCTTGGCAGTCACACTTGCGATCACTCAGCTACCGAGGCAGTCAATAAAAAAATAAATGTAAATCCTATATACTTATTTAGTTATTTTTTTATCATATTAAGCTGAAGAGTTGTTGTTTGTTTGAACGCCCTAAGCTCTTTTTTTTTTGAGGGGGGAAAATCATCCAATGACTTTTCCCGCCCGGGTGAGGCGGGAGGGAGTGTCAGACTCTTACTGACTAAAAACCACTCCGTTCCTACTCCTGCACTTCGAGCCGGAGCCCCGGCAACCCGTTAAGTCTTCCGCGGCTAACGGCCTAAGCTCTGGAACTAAATGTTCGATTTGAAAAAATATTTTTGTGTTGGATAGTCTATTTATCGAGAAAGGCTATAGGCCTATAAAATTCACGCTACGACCAATAGGAGCCGAGTAGAGGCGGTAAAACCGCGCGGCAGTAGCTAATAATAAATAAAAATAGCATAAATAAAAGAAGATGTATACAGTTGGTTGTACATATAGAGTAAAGTATGTATACCTTATACTTGTTTTTAAATAATATTTATCAAATAATGATGTTAGCTGCAACAGACTTCTTTAAAGCGTACGTGATTTTCTACGTTAAACGAAACAGTTTTTAAACGTCACGTACACTTTACGTGGCAGACATCTTGAATTTTTAAATAACATCATCTTTTTATTCATAGAAAGAAATTAACTTTTATTAAAAAATAAACTTAATTATATTGTTTAATTTAAATGTACAATATTTACTACAATATGAACATTTCACGTCATGTTAAATGATAGTTCGAGTAAATTAATCTCGTTGATTGAATGGTCTCAAGTGAAAGATGAGCTTTGTGCTTCAATTCTCGGTTAGTACATAGATTTAGAGAAGATAATTTTCTATCTAAAAATTAAAAAGTGCAAGGCTGACTCATGCATGACTCAGTATCTATTTTAATTATGAAAACGGTATAATTTAATTGCAATTATCACACCAATTTTAGTATTCTTTTTTTATGGCATAAGCCGGTAAACGAGCAGACGGATCACCTGATGGTAAGCAATCGGCGTCGCCCTTGGACATCTGGAACACCAGAGGCGTTAAAAGTGCGTTACCGGCCTTTTGGGATTAGGAGTTTGAGGATCGTTGGGGATTCAGGGATTGGGGAGATTGGGGAAGGGGAGGGTAATTGGGCCTCCGGTAACCTCACTCACACGACGAAACACAACGCAAGCGTTGCTTCACGTCGGTTTTCTGTGAGGCCGTGGTATCACTCCAGTCGAGCCGGCCCATTCGTGCCGAAGCATGGCTCTCCCACACTAAATTTAAACAATAGTAATGAGACTGTGAACATATAAAACAAGATAGACTATTAACCTGCCCACCATATATGAGCCATTCTACATTAAAACTTAAGTGTTATCATGCTTCTACCCTGTCAGTGCTCATTACGTATTAAAACTAAAATTATGACATGAAATTATGACTAGACGACTCTTTAATAGTATTTATAATAGAAAGGGATTGTTATAAAATGCTTTACTGCAAGAATTATGAGAAACAATAGCATATTCTGTTTAACTATTACATAATAGTTATGTACATTTATGTAGTTTTATTAAGGTGCGTAGGTATAGCGCACATTCCTAATTTTGTCGTAGAAAATACAGCATGTATAGAGCAGATTACATTCTACGAAGTATTAAACGTATCTGTGCACTAATATAAATCACTAATACCTACACAAAAAGTTTGAAATCTATAGCGTATTTAAGGTAAAAATAGCAAATCACAAAAAAACGTACAATCAATCGTTCTTTTAGAATTTCGGGAAGAGATAAATAAGTAGTTGGCAATTCATTATTCTTCCGATTTACAAAACAAGCTTATTTTTGCACGAGTTCAACGACATGGACAGATCTCACTTGTCAACAAATACAATATGTGCGTACATAGGTGAAACTATATGAAGAAAAAAGTCGCCAGTGTCACATATTAACTAATGTTTTGATGTAAATACGTAAATATGTAATATTGTTGAAATTTTTTGAATTGAACTGAGCAACATCTGAGGGATTACATTATTCATTCCTATCCTTTAGACTTGGTCGGCATACATTTCGAATCTCCTGAACTAAACTTAAAAAAAAACAACAAATAATTTAAATAATTCTACCTGAAATAAGAGAGGAAAGTAGGAAACAATTTTGTATATTTTATGAAAGATATAGACAATATACGCATTCTACTTTCTATGATACGAAATTTATTTGAGAAAGAAAGTGCAGGCAAACAAAGTCCCGTGTCATTACATCACGTTGATTCATATGACAGGCATGCAATGCATCATACATCGACCTTGGATCCATTCCTCACGCAACCGACCTCTTACGTAGAACACACCTGCCCGACTATTTGTACCTGGCTGAAAATAGAAAACTTTTCATTACCAGACAGGAAAAAATGTTCGCGAATTACTACTATGTTCTCAACTTACATGGAACAAAGTATAATATGGGGTATACTTCACCTATAGATAAGAATATTTAGATACAAGTTTGGAATCCACCAGAAAATCTATCCAATACTATACGAAATGTGTAAAAAGATCTAATGGTAATAAGTTTATTTAACTTTCATTTGTCCTGTGCAGATTATGTAATTATTTTCTTGATGAAGATTTAAAAACAAGTAACGCGCTTGGGCTTGCGTAGGTGCACTTCTTATCCTGTAGTTTTATAGAACGACTCTATTCTCGCCTGTAAAAATTACAAGTTAACAGGTTTATTGAAACCACGCAAATAGCGGAGAAGATCTACGTCATTGATCCGACACAAAACACTGAAAGAAAACTCAAATTTTCTTATATTAAAGAACATCTAATAACTTCATACACATAAATCAAAACATTTCATTTTCGCTAGAAATTGCTAAAAATTATTTCTTAAATGGAAAGTCAATGGACTCGTCCTTTCTAGTTTGTACATCGCACACATAGACACAACTATAATGTTTGTCCGTGACTCCACTTATATTTAAATGTCTCGTCCAAGGCGACACTCGGGCACATGGAAACAATTACAATAAACTAGAAAATAAACAGAGATATTAGTCTGGACTAAATTCGACCGACACACTGTGTTAGCCAGAAGTGTGTATTAGATATTTATATTTTAATACTGTACACTTTCTTTGATCGTGTGAATTCAAGGGTTACTGTTAAACTAGGTGTTGCGAATTCAGTCTCGGGTTAACACAAGCATCATTACTTTCTCGATTTCCTATTTTCTTTAATGAATGGCAGACACCCTTTTATTCTTGATTTTTTTCATAATTATGCACGTCATCTACCCTTACTAGTCCTATGATGTTGTAATATTATGTTAATAACTTTAAACGTTGACATTTTATGAATATTTTGCTCTCATAAACAGATATGATATTATGAGCAAGTACACTTATTTTTTATTAAAGTGCGATATTAACAGTCAATGTATATACGACAGCCATAAATGTATACAACACAAAATCTCTGTAGAGCACCTACTATGTCTCATATATTTTTATTTGTGTAACGGCAATGGTTAAGATTAGCATTTTTTTTTTAAATAAGTTCATGTCCTGTTTTTTCCCGAAGGGAAGTAAGATTGCCGGATACACCCACGGTTTGCCGTCAATGGTATTCGTATTGTTTACTTTGACGATTGTGTCATCATAAGCGGGGTTCAAATGTGAACTTTAGGTGTTTAACTAGTTTTGTAAATAACTTACAAACCCCCGGAAACTTCCTGAGTGCACTCAGGTTCTGTTCTCATACTTGGGTACGGCCATAAAATTCACGACGAAGTTTATTAAATAACCTCATGAAGCCAAATAAACTAAATATTAAACAAAATGTTCTGAAAAGACATTGCGTCCACAAAACTGACTGTGACTATGACTGCACGGTTAGTGCGGGCTAGGCAACGGGTAGCGAGTTCGATTCCCGCACGGTTTTACTCCTTATGTGATCCACAAATTATTGTTTCGGGTCTGGGTTTGTATGTGAAATTGTATGTTTGTAAACGCAACCACGACACAGTAAAAAATCCTACAGAGGGGCAACGTTATCTTTAAGAAAAAAAACCACGAAATTCTGGAAATACATTTTGTTTCCTGATTTTATGTAGTAATAAAGAGTAAGAAGCACACAGAATACTTATACAAATATAATCATGTATATCTAAGGTAATTTGGCTGATTTCCACAAGATCGAAAAGCATAACCTTCACTAAACTTTAATTAGGTACATCAAAGTCAATTTGTGCTATGAATGTCACGAAAATCCGCTGAAAACAAAAACTTGAAATTTCTGTCGACGATGCATGGCCCATGTATAATGCATATTAACTAAAAGATGTTTGTGGCTAAATCACTTAGTACACATGCATCCACGAATATCACTTATATTTTTTACAGGTACTTATATCATCATGTCTTTTATTATGACGACACAGAATGTCATAAACCCATTCACGAACTTTTCACGCTATGAAGTAATTTAAACATTATCAAAACATTTCTTGTTTCATATTTATCATTATAAATTCATAATATTATTACGGATTTATTTTTCATATTAAACGTGTAGTTGTAGTGTAGTAACGTGTATTTTTATAATAAAAGTACTTAGGTACCTAAGTACTTTTATTATGAAAATACAAACTGAAGATGTTGATTAACAACTGCCTAGATGGTTTAGAAAAGTCTAATGGCTTCAATAATGAATACTTCGAAAACGTTTATAAAGATTAGGCAGACATGGAGAACAGAGATTCTGGAAATTATAATTTATTCACAACTTTAATATAAGGCCGACTAAAAATAGTTGATGTAAACTAGATAAAATTCCCGCCTACAGTGAAGGAAAGCGGTTTCATTCGACGGTTGGAAGCCGCGGCTATCAGTGATCCCAAACTTTCTGACAGTTTACTGTGAAGTTTAAGTTCAAGGACTTGTAATTGTGTATTACAGGTGAGCAGTGACTATTTAAATGAAACAAAACGGTGTTAAAGTAAAATATGTGACACGCTAAATATCGCTAATTGAATTCAATAAAACAAATTAATTAGGGATCGCCAACGAGACATTCAACATTTAACAAGAGACATTGTTCAATTAAAATTTTGTCTACTGATTGTCTATTTATGTTGATAGCACATGTGCAAATTAATTTACGTCTGCGTCCAATTAATGTACCGGCACATAAATCACTCGTGCCAAACCATGAATCATCGATACTTTACAATTGGTAGGGACTTATACACGTCAATACGATCATCAAACAACATAACCGTGCTTGCTGAAACATTGCAGGTGAGGGCGTCCATTTCCCAGACTCGTGCGCAGGCAGTGGGCGGGCGCCGACCGCGGACTCAGTTAGAGACAGGCATCGACGCCGCTCGCACGAATCTGAACGCCGCACAAGGTATAAACACTAAAAAACCAGCGCTTCTCACTGCTTCATATAACATTTGCACTAATAAAAGCTTACGAATGTCTGTGTATTTTTTTCGGCACTAATCACCTGGTGACCTCGACATCCATGACTAACTTCATGAACAAGGTGTTCAGTTACAAAAATAATTCGCCGTGACTTCATGCGACTGAAATAACGCGTTCATGCGATCGCGGTAATATTTTGGCTGGTCACGGGAACATTTTGTTCCTCTCTACACTGACTTGAGTAGGGACTTTTATATATTTCCTAATTAATTGTTTATCAACCAATTGTAAACAATGCCGGATATAAACAACACAATTTTATGAGCGTCCTAAAATTCGATTTTAACATTTGTGACTCGAATTAGAACGGATCTTATTTTCGTACATCAGACAGTCTGAATTATACGAGTGGATTATTTTGAGCCTTGATGACGGTATTGTTAACCTCGTCCAAGCTATAAACATCTCTATTGACCTTAAAACTAGCTGAATATTTTTAATGTTTACTATATCCAAAGGACGGCATTGAAGTTTCCAGTAAATTTAATTATTATAACTATAGTGTATAATATTAGGTGAACATTATTGATGACAGTAATAATGATTACATTTCTTGAAACTAATAATGCAAACCGGTCAAAATAAATAATAGATATATTAAAAGTATCTATTACATGACTACTATCGTTTAATATTGTCGATAGATAAAGAGAATATATAATTGTAGCTCTTTGTTGAACAACATTTCCAGTTATCTTGAATTATAATTCCGAAAATAAGTGCGCAAATATTTATTACGCATGCGGGCAAGGAGTCCAGAACGAAAATAGACTATACCTCTCGCCGTTCACATTAAATATCGCATCTTGAGCAGCATGGAGATAACAAACTATTTTTCCAACACCTACACACATTCTCAAACAAATTTACATGAGCGAGAGCTATATTGTTTGAAATGCATTCATTTTTCATAGTCTCAATAAACGTATCAAAGTAAGAGTATATTTTTTCTATAAAGTCTCTTTGTGTTGTCGGAACGTAGTTTTATGAGAGTAGCGACACAAGCCTTGCACTTTTAAAAGCACAATAAAAATGCTACTTATTCTAGTTTACTTTCTGGACATAAAACTGTGTATAAAATGACAACTGTGTGTTGCAACAGTTTATAAGTTCATAGTAAAATTATTATTTTACTATGAACTTATTCCTTTACAGAAAAAAACTCATTAGTTATATATCATACATATCCATACATCAATGGTATAAGGTTCAAAATTTCGAAGTCGAAATTAATAAAGGCATATGTTAAAATAAATGAGTTATGCTTAACAAATATCAAATTATTATGACATCAAAACCAACACAGTCATCGCTCTGTTAATGCAGAGATTACCGACATAAGATTTGCATGTCAAACGCATCAATACGCTGATTGTAAACGGATGTGCAGATGGAGTGAATTCTCAGCATGCATCAGTAATAAATGGTCCGATATATCTTTGATCTACGCTTAAGCCAATCGCGCTCGCATTTCAACGTGAACTGTTTTGCTTATGTTTTCGTTATGGCTTAAATATAATAATACCTACTACTTGAAAATATTATCACATCAACATAACGTAGTATATGTCTAATTCCCGCCAGTTATGTTATTAGAACCATATCGTGTAATACACATACCTATGTATCTGAACAATTAGAACACCCTTTCTGATTACCAGGAATTGCTCCCAATAATAACTTACTCTAAAATAGAAACAAGAGTTTCTACTAAACAGTTACGCGTGCCATTAGATTAATGAAGTAATCAATATCATTACGTCAATCTAAATTCTCAGATGCAAATAAATAGAAATGTTTATTTTACATTACTAATACTTGTATTACTTATTTATAAAAAGTTATTTGTTTTTTTTTATTAAATTTCATGCACATACATTATGTGCGTAGGCGGACTACCAGTTTACCTTTGCGCGATGCACTAACAAGAAAAAAATGATCTTGCGAAACTACGTGGGTAGTCTAGTAGCACAGACCTGGGGTTTTTTTTTAGGGCGGAAAATCATCCAATGACTTTTCCCGCCCGGGTGAGGCAAGAGGGGCTGTTAGACTCTTACTGACTAGAAACCACCCCGTTCCTACTCCTGCACTTCAAGCCGGAGCCCCGGTAACCCGTTAAGCCCTCCGTGGCACAGACATGGGGTACTCAATACAATTGTAAAAAAATGAACTAAAAAACAAGTGAACTTTTTTACTAATGTATTCTTTCCGGCCTAAAAATATTACTCGTGCATAAATATAAACTTCAACTACACGCCTACTAATTACTCACAAGTTTCCGGCAGTTTGCGGTAGTGTACACAACATAAGTGGGTATCTAAACTTTGTTTTGTTTCCATTTATGAATGTATCGGTTGTATCAAATTAGAACCACTTGGGATATGAACAACGAATATCGTGCTAACAGTGTAACATTCAAACATAGTTAAAGTTTAATAAGATAACGTGTGTGACGTGTGATAATTTTATTAAACACTCTGGGTAAACATGTGAATGTATTATTTAATTTGCAGCAAAGAACTGCTATGTAATCTTTGCAATCAAATCCTTCCAGCTACGTCGTAGCTAATTTGTAGAGAAAATAATGAGTATTATCATAACTAAATCAAATATCAAGCGTTTCAAAAAATGTTTACAAAGGAAAATTAAAATATAATGTTGTTTTCCACGATGCGGTAACATAAAATAAGCTAATTCTAGAGCAGAATGTGACGGTGTTGTGAGGAGTCGCCTTCCGTGTCCATTTCGCAATTACAACGAGACGCTTGTACACAAATAAATCCAGTGACGAACGATTCTTTGGTGGACGATATATTATCTGTTTTACTACATTATTCACCGCTAATCACACATTAATTTACCTGATAAATAGCTCTTAGAAACCCGACATTGTTGTAAAAACTATAAAGACGAACATTCCAAATACGAGAAGATGTAGTATGTAGATTTCCATTGGTGACAACTTCGTATAAATCAACGATAGAGACACCAAAATCTGTAGTGAGACATATCGAAAACTTATTTGCACAAAGCTGGCTGTCTGCAGCACATTCTTCGGAAAAAATATGATAGCCGTCGTTGGCGGTGGCGGGGCTAATAAAAACGCAATAACACGAGGTGCTCCGACGCCAACCCCGAGGCGTGAATCTTCCGAGAGTGTAATAAAATTATCTCATGAGGAGGATAAAATTTGTCATCCTAATTTTTCTGATATGCGTCCTGGGGTAAATAGTCGTATATTCTAGGCTAGCATGCTTCTACGATTACAAGGGCGTTGTTTTGTCTCATAAACTTGTGTTATAAAGGCCCTTTAAGTAAACACTAAATAGATTAAGTAAACACGTTCTCGATTAATCAAGTTGTTCTCTGAAAATTATGATTAGGATTTTCCCTCCGTCTTCTTAGATAACATTGCTTTTAAAACTAATGTCTTAATTAATAATTAAGTGCTCCAAGATGATTATAATCTAGTTAAATTAAATTATCTGTTTATTAGTTTTATCTGTATCTGTGCTTGAGTCATAAACCATAGATGTTTTTGAATGTCTGCATGCATCGTAAATTTTATTATGCTTTTAAAACTGCAGTTAAGAGTTGAAACTGATTCAAAATGCTCAACGATCTAAGTGTGTTGTGTTTTTATCAATTCCTATATACTTTATTAAAGCAACAATACCTAATTATACCTAGATATATATGTATGATATATAAGGGAATCCATCAATAAATTAAATAAAGGTTTTTAATAACCGTTCGCAAGAAGCTGCACGTCAAACGTTTTTTAGTCCAATAGTAGTTTTTCGACAACGTTAACCTTCGTTGTAGCCAAAATAATAACCAATTGTATTATAACATTCCAGCGCTGAACGAACGACTGAAAGATGGCCACCGGCCCGAAGATAGTGCACAAGCAGTTCAACTCGCCCATCGGGCTCTACTCCCAGCAGAACATCAAGGAGACGCTCACCAAGCACATGCAGAACCTTGGCAATGGCACCGTCGGGTCAGTACCAAAATTAATTAACTTTTTACTTACTAATTGCACCAATAAATTGTATACTAATTACATAGAGTGACGAGGTAACGAGGTCATCAAAGACAGTATAAATAAACAAACTATACTCGGAATTTTAATTCGATTTCAGATTTGACAATTTCAGTGTTGCAACGTTCATGACAAGTACTAACTAACTAAATAGTGACGTTGCGAAATTATTCGATATGGAAATACAATATTTCTGGATCGATTCTTCTCGTTTATAATTTTACTCCCGTAAACTAAGTATATCAGGAAATTAAATATTTCTGAACCGATAATTTAGTTTTGACGATTAATTAACGATCTGAGACTTTTCTTTTATAATTGTGTGTGAAATAAATAAAAAATGTAATCATGAAGGAACATGACAAATAAAACAGATAGATGTATTATGGTAATATTTTATAAATTGTCGCCATCATCGCTATCGCTATCCTGTCACTTTCTGTAACATTTATAAAACACACACACCGATAGTTTATCGATTTTTGTGTTCATCACTACACTATTATATGTGGTATCATTATTTCACAAAATGACAGTAGCTATTGTCAAATCTGGAATCTAATTAAAATTCTGACTATAGATTTCTTGAACAAACAACAGTTAAATGATTGACAATTGAATACTGACTTCATTAATTTGTTTTTAAAATCGATCAATGTTAAGAGGAGTCGTTTCTTAATTTTTTTTCATTACCTGCTTCGGTCTATAGACCATAATTATAGCTCTTAAATACTTATATGTCTTATACGAGAATTGATTACCCAAAAACAATTTATAAAACGCAGCGCCAATCCCACAGTCAAAAATACTACCTAATTACTTGCAATAACTACAACATAATTATACAACACTAAAAACTCAATTCAACATTTCAAGGAATTAATTGAATTATTAACTCAAAGTGATTGAAGTTAACGACAAACTAATTCAAGAAACATAATTGCATTGTCTCCTACGCTTTCACCAAGCTTTTAAATTGTATTATTATAATAGGCTAGACTAATGTCTAGCCTATTATAATAATTATTATTATAATAGGCTAGACATTAGTCTATATATAATAAATATTATTAAACAAGTATTAACTTGATAAATATAAACTAAACATATACTAGATATTGAGATAATGTTACTTATGATCCTTTTAAGATCTTCGTTACCGTGGCCTGTTCCTAACTATGTAATATGTATATGAGTGTTCTCTTGACGTTTAATCTACAGTTTTCTGCCTTCCCCATCAGTCTATGAAGAATGAGATATTCTTTTTACTTGGTCAACATGGGAGTTATATCTGTCACATTTAAATCGTGAAATTACTTTATATAAATAATTTAAAAAATCTAGGGCATAGAATAGATATCAAGGTTAAAAACTCACAAATCAATTGAAACAAATTCACATTGTTACTCTTATGTTTGGTCTCAAGTACCGTAGCATTTTATTTCTTTAAGTATGTCAATACTTGTCTGAAGAATACGATGTTAATTATGATTGATTACTTGTGTCATAATTCATCTACGTATTAGTCTATTAAGAGCACTTTTGTTACGACATATTAAAGAAGGAGATAAGTACGTACCTACCTTACTGTTGAATATTAATATAACTCGATATTAAACACCGTAGTTTACGCACCCCTGAATAGACCTTGACATTATTTTCCCAAAAAACTAAGAAAATATTTAAGTATATTCATTGAACAAGGGATTTTATTTTCAGGGAAATAAAATATAAAATACCTTTATAATTTTTCCTCGTGTAAATATTCTACGCCCATTCTAAAATGTTTGTAACACAGGTCGGTGACTTCGCAGAGTAAAATAATGTTTAAATGTGTATCGTACTACCTAGTTGAGTGACTTTCGCACAATTTTCTTCAGGTTGAATAGGTAGTGCTTTATCTCCAATTTACAGTGATCGGTGGACAGCTGAATACTTACCCACATCCATCACTTGATACAATCTCATCCGTCTCTCTAATAAAATAGAAATATCTATTTTAATATTTAGTTTGTATTGGTGTAGATAGCCAGTGAATCCATTTTGACCATAATGGCATTATGTCATACGAACGTAAAACCGAAATAATCCTCGTACAACAGAATGAGGACATGACATCTCTGCGCTCTCATAATGGGTGCTTCCAAAAATAATTTTCCGAGGGCAAGGTCACATTAATATGAATAAAAAGAACGGAGTGTATATAATTAAGGTCCTCTGTCACATATTTTGTAAAGATTCCGGTAATAAATAAAGCGAGAATGTATTGTGATCACCTGTGTACTTGAAAAATAAGGGTTTTGCTGTTGTAAATAATACGCATTAGCAGTCCAACGGTGATGAAATGATTTCGTTAAGAAGGGTCCTTGTTTTGGCTTCTGTTCTGTCACCTTACAGATTACTGAATAACAAAAAGCCGATGACTTTTTTATGTAGAATGTCAGTTTATTTTGGTAACAATTGTTATTTACGGGAATTGTATTGTTGTTTTAAAGACGAAAACATTTTAAAATGAGACTGACAGTCGAATCTTAAAATAAAGTTTTATCAAAAAGCAAATAAGGTGTAAAAGTGTTCTGTAATTGGAATAATGCTGAAAATATGATTGTTGATCTTGAGATATTGGGTTAAAATAATATTAGCTTCATAATATTAGATCGGTTAGTGAATTAATGCCTAAGAATGGGAGAATCTACGACCATTGTTACCATAGCCGAACACCGTACTGTAAACCGAACCTTGCACTTGCAGCAGGCAGAGTCACAACCTTCCTTACAAATGGACGTTGTTAGTGACCACGTCATTAAAAAAAATAAAAAACGGAGCAAATTGCTTTGTCAAAAATATAAAAAACGATTTACGAGTGAATATTGTTCCATCGGCTCTTGACCGTTTGCCAGACCGATGACGTCTTATTGATACAATTGTCGTGCAATTAGTCAATGAATTATAACAATATAACGTTGTTGTTTATTTAATTACAACATATTTTTAAGAATTTACGCATTAAATATAATATCTAAATAAACTCTATGACAATTTTAACGTATTCGAAAATCGTCTTAATTTTTTATGGAATAGTTGCTAGATTCCTTTAATACTAATGATAACGAAGCTCTAGACTACGACCTATGAACAAAAATACTTAACATTATCGCGTCAATTCGGAATGTAGTCTGACTGCACCGCCGTTAAAAATAACAGTAGAGAGCTATAAATAAATCGCGTCACAAACGTGTAGGAAACAAAACAAAATGATAGACGTGCCAATAGGCGGTCGATGAGTCACCGTCACCCCTAAACGAATCAATACGAGGAATACGATCACTCCACACGAGCATTAGAGCCCTGTTTCATTGGGACACCATAGTTGCATGGCCACCATAGATTACATTTACCGCGGATATTGCAATAGCCGCCTCAGGGACAGAAGCACTCTATGATAAATCTGAGACTTTAAACTGCAACCTTTAACCTGCCTACCTGCAGATTATTTATTTTAATTAAAATAATATGACATTACAGTCATTAAACCAAGGCCTCCTTCATTAGTAAAGAAGGCCAATGGGCCTCAGTCCCAGTCAGTCCAACAAGTGGTCAGTCTGGTCAGTTGACCACTTTTTTCCACATGTTCTTTTAAACAGCATCATTAATTTTACATCGATCCCAATTCAGGAAAATAAATTTAATATGACGGGATAATATGTTGATGATGATTGGTCGTACAACCAGGTCATTAAATAAATGTATGCAGCTCTATGGAGGATATTTCACCTGGTATCAAATCGGTCGCACAATCCCCGTATCCCAATGAAATAGGGCCCTTATCCGTATTTGGTGAACGTATGGACTGTGTCACATGTGCCGTTACGGTAATAAGATCAAGCTCTCACTGATGCCAGTATTAATGCAACCTGCATTCAGCCAATTTGAATCTGTTACAATGGACAACACAATAGCAACAGTGCACCGAACCCTTTAAGCTCGAAAGTTTGACACAATTAATTGTAAATGTTTATATTGTAACTTTCGTGAGAGCTACTAAAATAATTATTATGTTTTCATCTCACTCACATTACTTTTTGACGAAGAACTCGATTAGTAGCATAGAAAACTCGAGTAGAACCACGACAGTCGCCACGTCGCGTGTCGCCGAATGCTGTTCATGAATATGAGAAGAATTAATATTATAAATATTGTTACAAATTGTATGAAAATTGTTCGTCTGTTTAGGCTCAGAGTCAATTGAAATTTAAATTTATTCAATGATATTTCAGTTGACCTGTAAACCGATGAAAATTCAGATTTCCTTTTCATTTCTTTACAATTTTAAGTTCTAAATACCAACTCGTCATCATTAGCACCTATCAAATTTCAGAAAAATAAATATATCAAAGACGACTTGTCAAACTTGGAAGGGTTTTTTTCGAAGTTAATATTTCCGTTAGTAACACGTAATATGATGAAAACTATGATAACTAATACAGTAGAAGCTGTAGGAGCTCATTACGGTTGAGATCGCGTTACAACTGACACACACACCTCAAGAGCTTCCTATAATACTCAAGTATTTATGACATGATAGAAATAATATTCTATAGTTGATATTTTATGTGAAACTAGGTTCTTTTCTTGTCAACCATTTTTGCTTCCTTGTATTGAATTTTAAAGTCAAGTGAGTTTACTCGTCGAGTTTCTACTTACTATTTGGTACCTTATTGTTTCTCTCGTACATACTTCAATACGATTACGGATTACTTACATGAAGTCTTAAAATACTGCCTCGTTGGCCGAGTGGTCGCAAGTGCGACTGCCGGGCAAGGGGCCTCGGGTTCGATTCACGGGTCGGGCAAAGTATTACTGGGTTTTTAAAAAAAAATCTCAGTTGTAGCATGGAGTCTGGAAATGTGCCCGGTATATGGCAATAGACTCACCCCCTATTACATAGGACTCATAAC